ATCATACCATACTAACACATAAAACATAACAGATAGTGGCATACCAGACAATTTTCACAAAGACAATCATCTACCAAACAACTACTACTAGTGGGCCGGCATTGTGGCCTTAGACCCACTTCTATTGGAAGGTAACTCACCTCAATGTCGTAAGTAGCTGAACTGTCCTCGGCTCCTGGATCAACTCCTCTCAAACTCCTACACATAATTATCTCCTTTAATTACCCCTTTCATACACATAACCACTTTAAGGGTCAACTATGGTCAATGGTCAAAGTCAACATTCTGGTCAAAGTCAACATCCTGTTTGACTCAACTCGCCAAGTTGGTCCAACAACTCGTCGAGTTCCATAATCCATAAAACCATGAAATCTCGATCCTATTCTTCGAGTCCTTTCATGAACTCGTTGAGTTCCTCTTCAAATCATAATCAGGACCTTTTACCCACAACTCGCCGAGTCCCTCCTTGCACTCGCCGAGTTCCTCAATCTTCATAACCCATACCATGGCCAACTCGCTGAGTCATCTTCTAGACTCAACGAGTTTTCTCAGTAACAAAAAAGGTTGGGGGGACCACGACCCAACTCGCCGAGTTGTATGAACAACTCATCGAGTCCCCCATGGTCTAAATCTATTCAATCGTTTCTAGTCGGGCTTACTGCATCCAAATCATAGATCTGGTTCCCTATGGTCGATATCTCACGTAAAGTTTCTAACTTTATGTCCATGCATGGGTTATTTAGCTCAAAAAGCCCTAAAAAGTGGTTCACAAGTTCAATGGGACTCCCATGGCCATAAAGTTGGCACCTTTATGCCATGGAGTCCCTCAAAGGTTCCAGATCTGAAGTCATGACTCCAAAACATGCTTGCATCCATGAATGGTTCCAAAATGTGCTCCTTAAATCCCTAAACTACTCCATGAAGAGATCTAGTAAATGATTAGTCAAGGTATAGACTTTATACCTCAGATGAGTCAGAAATGCAGCACAACTCACAAAATAAAAAACAAAAATTGCTTCGATAATGTACATAAAAACTCTTTATGCATTTTTTACAGAAACGATTTATATGTTTAAAAAAATTATAAAGTGCTTACGTTTATCAAAAGACAACTACTCCACTCCTCCCCCCCCCCCTTGCGCCAAACCGTGCATACGCAAATTCCTACAAACAATTTTTAGTTTTCATTATTTACAAACAACCTACCTTAATCAATAATATAACTTATTTAAGAGTCCCAAATATATATTTACATTAATATTAAACTCGATTTGTAGAGGATTATAAATTATACTGTTCCAACCTCCCCCCCCCCCCCCCCATGTACATGTTGTCAACCAACGCCTCCCCAGATGATGCTCTCTTCTCTAGTGAGCTTTTATCTCTCTTTATCTCACTCATCCACACACACACACACACACACACATTTCCAAGCAAGAAAGTGTCCCATCAACCCTTCCCTTTGAATTCTCGATGTCTCCGGGAATAAATTCCCCAGAAACATCCAATCGAAGATTTCGAAACCTTAAAAAGGCATAAACATCTATTATTTCTTGTACATGTCTGACAACAAAATCTCAAACGAGGATTCTGACATCATTAGACATGGACCATATTTCAGGATATTCGAGTTACTTTTAGACCTTGCAAAAAGCTTGAGTTTCACTCAATGACATCCAGGAATATTCCCTTGAATTTTGGTAATTTGAAGGGCTTATAAGGAGCTTAAATTCATAATAGAAAAAAAAACTCTAGTTCGACTCCTCAATGAATAGGAAAGCTTGAGCTCTTTATTGAATAGAGATGATATATATATATATATATATATATATATATATATATATATATATATATATATATATATAGAGAGAGAGAGAGAGAGAGAGAGAGAGAGAGAGAGAGAAAAGGACGAGAGAGAAGGAGAAGCTCATCGGAGAAGACAAGTCAGAAGAGACACCGACTATTAATATGAAAAGGGAGGGGAGGGAGTGATAGGTAGGGTGGTGGGCCCATTCATTTTTTGAAAAAGAAAAACAAAAAATTATAAGAATATTGATAAGTGTAATTTAGTAATTTCATGTTTATTAGTGACCATTCTTATAACAAAAACAAAAAATAAAAACATTTTGTGTCCAAACTAAAAATTTAAGAAAACCAAGAACAATACATATCTGTAGGGACCATTTTTGTAGTTTAATAAAAGTTAATTTATTTGGTTAGATGGAATAAAGTAACAAATAAATAGAATGACATACTTATTATAATAAAGATAATAGAATAAATTATAAGATTTTATAACCACGTTTGTTTGGAAATATAATAATAAAAATATTTTTCATGAATTTTTATATATAAGTATAATGGAGAACTTTAACTCCAAGCTATATGAACTAAAATATAATGAACTTTTGTATAAAAAGTTATTAAGACCCTAATCAAATTATATTTGAAAAATATAACTCGTAGTTATTAATAGAAAAAAAACCTTAACTTATTAAAGAAAACATGGATTTTTATGAGTTTTGTGTCTTCAAAATTTAATAAATAAAAAAAGTCTAATTATAAAAGTACGAAAATAATACGGTCCGTTTTTCTAACCATAGATTGTACCCTTAGATCATCCGGTATATCCCAACGGCACCAACATGGGGCTCCTTAAGTCGTTGTAGCTCACCATCTTCTTCATGGTAAATTCCACAAAACCATTGTTGGTGTACCTACAACAAAGAGAGAAGAAGAAAAGAAGTCTATTAGCACGAGACATCACGAGCATTGCATAACGCCACCCCTTGGATGGTGTGCACGGCCTTGGCATCTATGTCACCTTGCCACGAGAGTTCCTCGTGCCATGTATATCCTATGACCTTATAGCAGAATGATCATATATCTTTTTTTTAAAGAGCAAAACAGTTTTATAAATAAGATAACCACTAGAAAACTGGGCAGGTACCAATATAAAGTTCAATTTATGAAATTGAAAAGAAAATACACCGGAACCAAAAATGACATCCCATGATATTTGTATAATACAAAATACTTAAATTATGTTGTTTTTATACTGAATTCACTATTTATCTTATATTTCAATTATCCCTCGACAACTTGTATTCATAAAGAAATTGCAAATATATATATATATATATATATATATATATATATATATATATATATATATATATATATAGGTAGGTTCAAATGTTTTCTCACATCTATTGTGTGCTAGAATGCACCAATAACAATTCAGTAAACATTAAATATATATTAAATGATATCCATACTTATAATTCTTTTTTATGGAAACTAATTAAATTCGTCATTAATATCAACAATAACATTTTTTTGAATTCGTATCTAGAAGAATAAGTGCGTATTCTAGTAGAACGAGAGTATATTCTACTAGAATACACTCTCATTCTTCATATTCCATACAACTTTATTGTATTTTAAGTGAGTGAGTCCTGAAAGAACGTTATTGCTAACATAAAAACATAGATACGAATTCATTCTGAAAAAATGTTATTGCTGACATTAATGACGAATTTAATTAGTTACCATAAAAAGAAAATTATAATTATGGATATCATTTAATATACATACAATTATGGAAATCATTTAATATCTATCTTTATTTAATTAAATAATTATTTAATTTTACTAAATTCATATTGGTGTATTCTAGCACATAATAAATGTAAGAAACAAATTAACCTAGCCCTATATATATATATATATATATATATATATATATATAATATATATATATATATATATATATATATATATATATATATATAGGGAAATGATCAAATGAGAACACCTAAAAGGTTGAGAACGCGAGAACAAATCTGGTACATTAAATATTTAAAATCTAAGGCTGGCATTAATCATTAATTTAAACATAAAATTAAATGATTTTAAATTGTTTTTTAATTAAAAAAATATAAAAGGGTATTCAAGTAATTTTATGATGTCATCCATTTTGAATATATCAGGTAAGTTTGACAATTAAAAGAAACCGTTCCTATGTTTTAGTAATCACAGCTAACTTCTTATCTTTGGGAGGATTCGATCGTATCTGCAATGCAAAATATTGTCACAGCTAAACATTTATACGAAAATCGATTACTACTGTTCATCCGTAAAGATATTTGTGCATTCAGAAGTCCGTAAAGGGTTGAAGGTGGAGGAATGTCGTCGGCCATCAACCGAAGTGGAAGAAGTAAGCTTTCTAATCTTATTTGAATGTCGATTAAGTGGAAAACGGGTCTAGTAGTGGGTTTAGTTCTTCTTAATGTTTACATTTTAACGATTCTTGAAACCCTAGAATTAGGTTTTTTCATTTTTTCTTTATATCATCTATTATGAACTGTAGTGACTCAAAATCGTCGATGATTGTTGATTTAAAGTTTGTATTTTATGAATAAAACGATATTGTATGTGAATGTTTAAACGAAAATGGTAATCGTAGATGAGTTTCAATGTTACGGTAGTCTGATATGGAATGTATTTAAGATTAATCGTTTATGATTGTGATTGAAAGTTTTATGATGTAGATACATGTGTAGTCGTAGTCGACTACTTTGAACTTAAGTACGATTATGAAAACCCAAAAATTAGGGTTTTTTTTACTTTTTTTCCAGAGTCGTCTTGTTGAATGTCAAAGTAAGTAGATTATCAGTACCACAAGAGGAGTAATTGATATTAGTATTCGATTTTGAATGGTGTTTAAGAGCAAAAGAATAAGGAAGGGTATAAATGTCTTCACTATTGATTATTTGTAAAATATGATTGTTTGTGGTACAAAATTACCTTTCTAGTATTAATCCTTGTTGTGGGTTGTATATTGTTTAAATTGTTAAAGGCATATTCGGTTGTGAATGGGTACTTTATTGAGTATGTATGTGTTTTTGATCCTGTACATGATGTAGTAAGAAATGAATAATGGTGTAGGAGACCCTAATGGTTTTTGTGACTAAATTATTTACACTGTTTGTTAAGTGATGATTTTTGTAGACATTACTCTGTTGTTGGGTATGTGTTTGATTGAGTTTGTGTTTACTAGGGATAATGTATGATTATTTTAGTTGTTGATGATTCAATTCTGAATTATAAATGAATAAGGTATTTTAATTCTACTATTTGGTAGAAAGAAAAGCGAGAGGATATTACTAAAGACGACATTTAGCAAATTCACTAATGAAGAATCCAATCCATTGCTTATTGATATTGAAGATGAAGACAATCAAGGAAACGAAACAGGAAACCCTCAGATTAGAAGAGAAGGACAAAAGAAATGTTCAACACCTAAGAAGAAAACTAAAAAACAAACTGGTGGTGATGATGATTAAATGAAAATTAAAATGTTAAATATCAATTGGAATCTATATTGATTATGTGTCTTAATTTTTGGACAGGTGTGGAGGAACGTGTGAATCGCACACCAGACAATTCAATGCAAATGGATCTTAAAGTTGTAGTTTTGAGCTCAGATTCAAGTAATGAATTTGTTTAAAATTAAATTTATTTAAAGTTTGTTTTTGTAGTTAGTTTTAATAACTTGTATTGTTTTATATTTATTAATAGAAAAGAATATGAAAACCAAAGTCAATGTGAAGAAGTTTGCTGCAGGAAAAGCAAGGGTTTCAAAATCTAAAAAAAAGATACAGAAACAAAAAGGTATCAATGATGATTTCATGTAATGTAAGTTGTATATCAAAATGTGTTCAGTTATGATTATGTTCTCTACATATTGACAGGTTTGATTGAAAGTGTTGACATGACAGAAGATAATGAAATACATAGGGAAAATGAATTGAGAACAAAAAGACGGTTTGATAGTTGTAAAATAAAAGATGATAAAGTTGTTGTTCTAAACGCATGTTCAGGTAATGATTTATTTTTAATTAAATTTAGTATAATTTTATTTTTGTAGTTTAGTTATAATCATTTATTGTGTTAAATATGTCTTAACAGGAAAACATAAGGTAACTGTCAAGAAGCTTAATGAAGATGAAGACTCCGATTTTGAAGATGCTAAACTTGTGCTTATAAGGAAAAAGAGAATGCATTATACTTCCTTCAAAGATGATGACAAAGAAAATGTGAAGAAATTAAAAAGACAAAAGAATAAAGAAGGAAATGTAGTGAAAGCAAGGAAAATGCCTAAAGTTGTAGGAAATGATGCAGAAGAAGCAAGGTGAATACAAGTACGGACATCTCCAAATGTTTTGTACAGTTGTATGCATAACCTTAGCAAGGAACAGGAAGCGTATATTGCTTCTATTGGTCTGGGGCATTTGTTGAATATGAAAGTGGATGGGTGTGCATCAATTATGGGGCATTATACTGTAAGGAATTTTGATGCAGATAGGATGGTACTCAACCTTCATCATGGTGATATACCAATTAATCGGCAGGTTATTCACGAACTATTGGGTCTGCCTCTGGGAAATGTTACAATAAAGTCCATGGCTTATAGAGAAGTTACAGACGACACGATAACTGTTTGGAAGAAACAATTCGATGATGAAGATAATATTAGACCAAGGGAAGTTCAACAAGTTATTATGCAAACAACACGTGCAGATTTACTCTTTAAAGTAAACATCTTTGTCCTGCTGTGTAATACACTAGGTCAGTCAATGAGCATGGGAACATGTGACCTGTCCATGTTATCAAAAGTCACGAAAGACCTGGATCTAAGTGACATCGATTGGTGTGGATATGTTTTTGACTGCCTTAAGGAGAAAAAAAGTGCATGGAATCCAAACAGCAAAAAAGGATTCTATGTTGGGCCAATTATCTTACTGCTGGTAAGAGTTGTTATAAATTCAGCTGTCATTCAATATTGGTTTACTTATGTGTGCAAATTCATTAAAGTGTATTTAATTAATACAGTATTTGTCTTTGTTGTAGTTGCTATATGTAGAAAGTGTTCGATGCGATTCAGTGAAGATTGTACGAGCCAGACCAGCAATATGTTTTTGGAATGTTGATAAACTGCGTGAGCGAGAAAGAGTAGAGTGTAGGACAATAGGTATGGGTATGGGTGAATTGCAAGAACCATTTCAAGTCATCAATGAATCATCGGGAACTAGTAATGTAGGTCAAGAAAAAGTTCAGGTAATATTTTATTATATTGAATAATGCATATGGAATTTAAAATTTGTTATTTTGTATAATCTAAATTAATTATATTCATACATGTTGACAGGGAAATGATGAAGGAGGTGTGAAAATTAGTGATGGAAGGTGTAAGGTATTAATATAATATAATCATTAATAAATAATAAGGTATTAGTACAAAAACTAACAATGTATTAATTTTCGTAGGGAAATCAAGGAGAGGGAATTTTTAGTGGAAGTGGGGAAAGTGTTGAGGTAGTTTACTAATTATTCACATTTGAATTATGAGTTACTATAGTATTAATTAATACTAAATGACATATTAATGTTTTTATTTGGTTTGTACCGTAATTAAATTGTGTTGACCTTATTAGACAACTATTTCAACAATAAAGGAGATGCACGACATGCTAGTGCAGCAAAAGAAAGTGTCGGAAGACAAAATAAATGATGCTGTCAAGAAATATCCTGAGAATCAATTGGTCAAAGAATGGAAAAACAAAGTAAATGATTTGTTTAATGAAGTTTCCACATCAGAGGAACCAGAACAATCTCAATGGTGGTATGATAACGAGGCTGAAATTGAACGTACACTGATTCTAGCAACATCTCACAAACAGTTTGACAACTCCCCGATAGCAAACTGTAGTATTCAGATGTCAAAGGAATATGAAGACTTCGTGAATAGATCTGGAAGAAAATCTTTTCAGACTACACCACCATCTAAAATGGAAATGCCAATTCCTTTGTCTGTAGTACCATTCAACAATGAAGAAAAGGGGTTTAATAGAAGATGGTACAGGCCTCGCATGAAATCCGAATATCTGAAATCTCCTTACATTATACGGGCTGTTGATATCACCAAAGGAGTTCCACGACAAGAAAAACGTGTAGCAGAATGGATATTCTCTCTCTAGGGAGAGCCAAAGTAAGTTGCATTTAAAATATGTTTAAAATTACTTAATTTTGTTGGTTGCTTATTAAAATAAGTATCAATTGGTCACGTCTTTTGTAGTGATATAGTTTTCCACACTTTGGATGGTTTTTATGCTGAGAGGTTTCACATGGAAAGTTTTTTTCCAACATGTGAACTATTTGGTCATGTGATTGATTGTTGGAGTCAAGTGTTGAATCTTGATGAAAGTAAGCGTGCACCTGAATCGCCTCTGAGAGTTTATTGCAAGACAGATGTGACGGTATATTTTAATATTGTTCAATGTTGATTAAACTATTTTTAAATACAACTTATAAATAAACTAATGAGTTTTTAAAAATGGATTACAAAATTCGTATCTTGAAAGTGATTTAACAGAAAGTCAACGTAAAGATAAATTCATTGAGAATCTGTTGCTTTCTATTGAAGATATGGACGCAAGCCTACGTTACGTTGGATTGGTAAGATACATATCTGTACATTTTACTTATGTGTTTATTTATCATTGATCAAATATGAATATTAAATAAAGTGAATACATGTAAATGAATATACATTACAGCTTTTCCTACCAGTCGTCCGTTCCTTCCACATTTTCCTTTTTGTGATCAATCTACAACACCCAGAGTTTGTAATCATTGACAACAACAAAGTTGATGATCATATTGATGAGAGATATGGTTAGTTGCCCCAAATCATTATAAGTGATTAATAAAAGTTAAATTACCTAGTAAATAACATTTCATATGTGTTGACAATCTTTTTTACATTTTCAGAAAAAGTACATAGTTGATTACTTAAAATCTCATAATCATCCAAAAACTGAGATGTTTTCACATGTGATGCCATATAGACTGGAAATGCCTTGGAGAACAATAAACAACCACACTGATTGTGGTGTGTTTACAATGTGTCACATGGAAACGTATATGGTTGGAAGTATGAATGAGTTTAAAGCTGGGTTCAAGAACGAGTCTTCTACACAAGATGATCAACTTGTTAAACAGAGGACAAAGTATTTATACAAAATCTCACTCACGAATATAATGTGCAAAAGTATTATGTGCTCCAAAAGGTTGATGAATTCCACAAGATTCCTTCAAGACAACGTTCTGAACTGTTGGCCATTGCAAAGGAACAAATTCACACAAGATTGGATGATTTTAGTTAATTATGTTAAAAAAGTTATTTTAGTTATGACTTTGATGGTTTCTTTTGGATAGTTTTAAAACAATGGTTTTGTATGTTAAGGATATTAACTTGGGTTGTAGAACGTACAATAGTTCCTTTTGGTTTGCTAATTTAGTAATGGAATGGTAATATTTTAAACTTAATATTAATAGTTATAATTGTTAGCCTAATAAGATTTTGGGCTTTATTTTGTATTAGGTTTTATGATTGGGCCTTTTCGCTAGGAAACCCTAATTAGCTTGTCTATATATTATGTCTTTCCTTTTCATTGTATTTGTACTTCTCTTTGATAATAATATGAAACCCTAGCCGTTATATGTATTTCACTTGTTAGTTTACATGGTATCAGAGCTTGGTTGATTATCTGTAGTTTTTCGTTTTTTGGGGGTGAGTAGTGTTCATCGGCGATTACTGTTCATCGGAGTTACTGTTTATCGATTACTGTTCATCGGCGTTACTGTTCACCGACGATACTGTTCATCGGGGTTACTATTCACCCGACGAGTACTGGTCATCGATGTTACTGTTCATCACGGCTACTGTTCACGGGTACTATTCATCACGGTTACTGCTCATCACACTATTCATCGGTACTGTTCACGTGCACTGTTCATTGACACCATTTGCAATTTTGGGGTATGCCTTTTTTGCTCGTTTATGTATTTGGTTTGGTTTGATTTGTTCGTTTGTTGGTTTTGAGGGTTTCAGTTTCATCTAGCTTTGTTGATTTCGAGATCTTGATCGTTTTTTGCTGCTACTCGTATTTACTATTTGACTGATATTGAAATATGGCCCCAAGAGATGATTCTCTTCAGTCCATTAGTATTCAACTTGATGGCAAAAACTATGCCTATTGGAGTTATGTTATGAAAAATTTCTTGCGGGGCAAGACTATGTGGGGGATTGTTACAGGTGACAAGAAGAAACCAACAGACGAGAAGGCCGCTAATTATGCAACCTTACTGGATTCATGGGAGACTGATAACTCCAAGATCATTACTTGGATTAATAATTCTGTCATCCAGTCTATTGGTACTCAGTTGGCGAAGTATGACACGACAAAGGAGGTTTGGGATCACTTGGCTAGGTTGTATACTCAGTCTAACTTTGCAAAGCAGTATCAGTTAGAGTTTGATATTCGAGCCCTCCAACATAACAATCTTAGTGTTCAGGAATTTTATGCAGCTATGTCGCATTTGTGGGATCAGTTAGCTCTTACAGAACCTGATGTGTTGAAGGCTTTTAAGCCTTATATTGATAGAAGGGAAGAGCAACGTTTGGTTCAGTTCTTGATGGTATTATGTTCAGATTTTGAAAGTCTGCGTGGATCAATCTTGCATCGTACACCTCTTCCCACTGTTGATTCGGTTGTTCACGAGTTGATTGCTAAAGAAACTCGTATCAAGTCCCATGCTGACAAAGCTCCCAAGACAGCCACTCCTGCTGTCTTTGCTGTTTCACAACAACCCCAATCTTCAAACCAAAATCGTCCCAGAGTTGCATTTGATGAGTGTGCTTTCTGTAAGAAGAAGAACCATTGGAAGGAAAATTGTCCTTTGCTGACAAGCAAGGGAAATCAGCAGCAACAACAAACAAGATCACCAGCACACTCTCAGTCTTCACAGCATAACAAGTCTTCTGGACAGTCACGTCCCTCTTTTTCATCTTTTAGGCCACCACAGTACGCTGCTGCTACACCTTCAGTTGAGAATGAAACAGATTTCACACCACCATCAGCCTTGGATCCACAGATTGTTGAGCAGTTCAGACAGTTCTTAGCTACCAATCCAACTGCCATGTCAGCTTCCATGTCTCATTTAGGTCTGTCTTCATCCAACACGTCAGCTATTCCTTCATCCTTGTGGATATTGGATTCTGGTGCATCTCATCACATGTCACCACATTTTTCATCTTTTGCTTCATTATCTTCTCGTACACCTGTCTCTGTTATGTCTGCTAGTGCTACACCCATGTCAGTAGAGGGTGTTGGTTCTATTGTCACTCCTTATATATCTTTAACAAATATGTATTACATTCCTACACTTGCTTTAAATCTTGCATCGGTTAGTCAGTTGTGTAAATCTGGTTGTTGGGTCTTCTTTTCTGATTCATTCTGCTGTGTACAGGACATTCGGTCTCGGAGAGTGATTGGGATAGGCCGTAGACTTGGGGAGCTTTATGTCTTGGAGCAGCTACATGTTGCTGATGTTGCTGCTTCTAGTGTCGATTTGTCGCCTTTTCGTTTAAACCCTTCATCGTCTCCTTTTTATCTTTGGCATTCTCGTTTGGGACATGTTTCAGCGTCTCGTTTACAATTTTTGGTTTCCACTGGTGTGTTAGGCTCTTTGAAATTTGATGATATTTCTGATTGTTGTGGTTGTAAACTGGGAAAATTTTCTACTTTACCGTTAAATAAAAGTGTCACTCGTTCTGTTGCTCCCTTTGATATTGTGCATTCTGATGTGTGGGGTCCCTCTCCGATAACCTCCAAGTCAGGAGCTAACTATTATGTTTCATTCATTGATGATTACACTCGTTATACGTGGGTTTATTTTATGAAGCGCAGGTCTGACTTTTTCACCATATATAGTGAATTCAGAGCTCTTGTCAAGACTCAACACTCTGCTATCATAAAATGTTTTCGGTGTGATCTGGGAGGAGAATTTACCTCCAATGATTTTAAACAATTATTGGCATCTGATGGCACTATACATCAATCATCTTGTACAGACACTCCTCAGCAGAATGGTGTTGCAGAAAGAAAACATCGACATCTCCTAGAAACTGCTAGATCCTTACTACTCTCTGCTCAAGTTCCCAATATGTTTTGGGGAGAAGCTGTTCATACCGCTACTTATGTTATTAATCGCATTCCTACTGCGTACACTTCGGGGAAGTCTCCTTATGAAATGTTGTTTGGACAACTCCCAGATTATTCTTCATTACGAGTGTTTGGGTGTACATGTTTTGTCTTGAAGCCTCATGTAGAGAGAGATAAGTTGTCTTCAAAATCAGATCTTTGTGTTTTTCTGGGATATGGTATTGGTCAGAAAGGTTATCGGTGCTATGATCCTTCAAATCAAAAACTGTATGTATCTCGCAATGTCACTTTTTTGGAGCATATTCCATTCTATAGCATTCCTGTTCAGTCACATGATGCAACCCGAGAGGAGCTTTGTACTATTGATCCGTTTAGCATTGACATTGATGATCCACCACATGTTACTGATCCACCACTTGCTGCTGATCCACCACATGTGGCTGATCCAGCACCTATCATTGATCCTCTGCCTGCAAATCATCAAGACCCCCCCCCCTCTATCGAGACCTTATCGTAATAAGAAGTCCACAAAGCTTCCTGAATTTGTCTATTCCTCTTACTCACCGGCTTTTGCCTCTTTTATTGCTAATGTACATCGTCTCTCTGAGCCAACATCCTATAAAGAGGCCATTTCTGATCCCCTTTGGCAGACCGCTATGGCTGAGGAACTTGCAGCTCTTTATCAGACTCATACATGGGATCTGGTTCCGCTTCCACCTGGAAAACACACGATTGGTTGTCGTTGGGTTTATAAAATCAAAACAAAGTCTGATGGATCCGTTGAGCGTTATAAAGCCAGACTTGTTGCGAAAGGGTACGCGCAAAAGTATGGTATGGATTATGAGGAGACGTTTGCTCCTGTTACAAAAATGACGACTGTTCGCACCTTGATTGCAGTTTCTTCCATTCGCCAATGGAAGATTTATCAAATGGATGTCAAGAATGCTTTCTTGAATGGTGATCTTCATGAAGAAGTATACATGTCTCCTCCCCCTGGTATTGCTCACCGACCAGGTGAAGTTTGTCGACTTCGGAAGGCTCTATATGGCCTCAAACAAGCCCCTCGTGCTTGGTTTGAGAAATTTTCTACGGTGATTACTTCTCTTGGTTTTCAACCAAGTAACCATGATTCAGCTCTATTTATTCGATGTACGAATGCAGGTCGGATTATTCTTTCCTTATATGTCGATGACATGATTATTACTGGTGATGATCATGATGGTAGAGAGTCTTTAAAGCGTGATTTGGCTCACCGTTTTGCTATGAAAGACTTGGGATTACTTCGTTATTTCTTGGGGATTGAAGTTGCTCAATCTCCAAAGGGTTATCTTTTATCTCAAACGAAGTATATTTCAGATTTGTTTGAACGTGCACGACTCACGGATAATCGAACAGTTGATACGCCTATAGAGAGTAATGCAAAGTACTCTCCAACTGATGGTGTCCCATTATCAGATCCAAGTCTTTATCGTACCATTGTTCGGAGTTTGGTTTACCTGACTGTCACTAGACCGGATATTGCTCATGCAGTTCATGTGGTTAGTCAGTTTGTCACTGCTCCTGCTACTGTTCATTGGGGAGATGTTCTTCGTATTTTGAGATATTTACGTGGTACTCAGTTCCACGCTCTTATGTTTCCTTCTTCATCCTCTCTTGAGTTGCGTGCCTATAGT